TGTATTCTTTGAGATTAAAGCCATTGCCTCTCTCTCCGTTTTTCTGTCCTCTCTGTTCCCTGCAGTTCACTATCAGATTCCCATTAAGTCGATCCTCTTTGTTGCTTATGGCCATGAACTGCTCCTTTAGAGATTATTTGACCACATGTCAAGTCACGTCACCTTCATTTATAAAGCGCTTTTTGCACTATTTTTCAAAGCAGCTTTACAGTTAAATTACCGTAACAGATTGTTTAGGCTTTACAACAGCATTGGGATAAAGTTATTGTCCGGCTAAAGTTAGTTTTGATTCACTTCCGTTGCAAAGATTATGGTTTTTAACTAAGTTGTGCTAACACAACATCGTTCTAACAGAAAACACACGCGCTCCGGTCGCCCATGCGCACAAAACAGTGCCTGGTGTCTCGAGAACGCAAACCCTGAAATAGGTTTGAACGTTTCTCTCTGAATATTCGTGTTTTACAAAAGAGTGTATATATACGTTACTTACCACACATGCTTTTATTTTGAAGTCCGTGAAAGGAAGTGCAGTGGCGAGTTGGCGCACTTTACGCTACTTTACACGAGAAGGGAGATGAACTTTTGGGTACACACTGTGAAAATATAGCTTGTATGTAAAAATGCTTCTTTCTACCTCTTACCTCCTGGCTGATGAAGGACAAGGTGTCGTTTTAATATTATGCTCTCTGCAAAACTTTGAGACTAAAGTGTTTATCGTATCAATCTCCTTCGAAGCTAACGTTTAGTGGGTCGTTAGCATACTGTGTTGTGCAGGTTTAGACATAGATAGGCTATACATAATAAAGGCTAGAAGTCTTGACTGCGCTGTTGGCCAATGGAGGTCGACGTCCACACCGGGCGGCCATGTTGTCACAGACAGCTCGCTCACTTATAACATTATAAGTTTATAGTTCAGACAAACAATAGTGTTTGTCTAAACTTTGTTATTTAAAGGAGTAGTTCACTTTTAAAGAAAAACTGTTGCTGATAATTTACTCACCCCCATGTCATCCAATATGTCTTTCTTCGAAAAGATTGAAAAGGTCGAAAAGAAATGAAGGTTTTTTAATGAAAACATTCTAGGATTTTTCTCCATATAATGGACTTCAATGGGCACCAAACGGTTCAAGGTCCAAATGAGAGTTTCAGTGTAGCTTCAAAGGGGTTTAAACGACACCAGACAATGAATAAGGGTCTTATCTAAAACGATCGGTCATTTCAAAAATAAATAAAAAAAGTTTTAAGTTTTATAAGCATAAATGCTCGCCTTGCTCTGTGCTGTGATTCGCGTTCGTAACTCTCCTGCTCAAACTCGTTCATCAAAAAAATGAATGAATCTTTTTTGAGTCATTTTGTTCGAACGAAATGACTCGAAAAAAAGATTCGTAAATTTCATGATTGTCTGGTGTTGTTTAAAGCCCTTTGAAGCTGTACTGAAACTTGATTTGGACCTTGAACCGTTTGGTTCCCATTGAAGTCCATTATATGAAGAAAAATCCTGGAATGTTTTCATCAAAAACCTTTCAAATTTCTTTTCGTTTGAAGAAAGAAAGACATGGACATCTTGGATGACGGGTGTGAGTAAATTATCAGCAAAAGTTTTTAAACTCAACTACTCCTTTTAAATAGCAACTCCACCATCACAGCATAGTTCAGACAAACACTATGTTCCACATTACTTGCTGTTTCTACTCATAAATCAACACCGCAGTGGAGTTCAGTTATTTCGGCCTTTAACTGGGCCTTAACTCTCCAAATATTAAAACTTCTCTTTTAATGATGATTTTTAGCCTGCCCACCAGTGGCTAAAACTGATTAATCTCTGTGCTGGAAAAAGAGAGGAAAATTGAACAGCATAAAGGGAACAGATTTATAGTATATGGAAAGTTTGACAGTGTACTAGAATTAGGAAATGGATGGCATGGTATATATAGAACCTGTGATCAGTAAACAGGCAGGTTCTTCACAGAGATAAAAGGATTTTCTCAAAAAAGAAATTGAATATGTCAGATTTGTATTGAGATCAAGGATTAGTTATCGTCACTGCAGTAAGATGTGGCAACATGTGATTGTGATTATGTCAAAGGATTAGGCTACAACAAACATATCTAATTCTGGTAATGAACTGTCAATTATGATTCAAAAATATGAGTTACTAATGAAATTATGAATACATTATAGGCACTTTCCTGTGAATATATAGGGCTATCTATTAAAACGTTTCCACCACAGAATAAAAAAAGAAAGAAAAAGAGTCATAATTGTGAGATAAAAGAGTTGCAATTACCTTTTTAAAACAAGACTTATACAAACTATTGCACTGTATGCATTATAAACTTATAGACTTTGAAAACATCTGTTGAACTAATTTAATTAAAATTAAGACATTTTAATGACCAAAACACTTTTTTCCCAGTTTTACTGATTTTTTTTTTTAAGTATAATTATTAATAATTTTATACACTTTTATGTATTTACATTTAATGTTTACTTGTTATTTGTAAATAACTATTATTTACTTTTAATGGTTATTAGGAAAATTTCACAAATTAAAGTTTCAATCTTTTTTGAGCAAATATATTGTATTGGTAACAAGGTTGCAAAACTGCAAACATTCTATATAACAAAACTAATTCTCCCTTTACTGATCATTTTGTTGAAAAAAGCAAAAGAAAAAAATAGTTTCAGGCTCTATTTTGTAAGTATGTAAAAATTGCACATTAACACAACACCATTAACACAACAAACAGGTTTTGTCGTTTAGCATCATTGCTATTTTGCAGAGCAGTCAATTAGTTTTTAAGTTTCTTGGTCCAGTGTATTTTGGTATTATCTTTATTCATTTAGAATACAGTACAATGTCACAGGTGGATACACAGATTTTGTGCACTCGGTTAACACGCTTCACAAGGTGAAATGAATGTATAACGTTACGTTGACCCTCCTCAGAGAGCGCAAGTTGCACTAATAAACATAAGTGTGGCACATTAATTATCCACATTCAAAAAATAGTTCATCCCAAACAGAAGTATTTTCAGACCTGATATGAACACCATGTCATCACTGTAAACAATATTCTTTATGATCTGATATGAAAAACAGCATATAAGGCAAAGTAAGAAACGTCACAGGACAACATTCAACACGCTCGATGTCTCAAGTATCGAAATACTTGTTTATATAAATTAAATGTGTGCAGAATTCGTGTGCATGTCTCTTTAGAAATACACAGAAATGTGGCACACATTTTGAATAAAGCCTATGTCATATATATATATTGCCATCTCTTTAACAAAAATAATGATGCTCTACATGTACGTACATAAACATCTTGATAATTCATGTAATATACAAAAAATCTGGCTATAATAAAAATGACTTCAATGCAAAATTACTAAAAATCTTGGATACTAAAGTGCTCTACAGATAATAAACTACTGGTCTCTATGACTAATGAGAAAAGAGTACCATCCTTTTTTGCACAATCATGTACAAACCAACATTCTCATTAAAATCCACAGTTAGCATTTCCTAGTCGCTTTCATGTATTGCTTAAATATACACTCAATATTTTCCTCCCCAGGAAACAACAAATCTCATAAAAATGTATGCATTTTAGATAGCCTTTTTCATGATGCCAAGTAGACATGAAATACTTACATATAATATGCTTTAGGATCTAATCTATCCATATATTTCGAATGATTCATTTGAGTCCCAATTAAATAGGGAAGATACGTTTAATGTACAGGTGTCCCCCAGTAACAAGTGTGTCTCTTTTATGAAAAATGTCTCACAAAGAAGCTTTTAAACAAAAATGTGTCCTGTTGACATCAAGCAAGGCAAAATCAAGAAGGCATCTGTTTGAGTTTCATTTGTCTTGCGTCTCAAGAGAAAAGTGAGTCTTTGAGTTACATAATCGAAACAATTTTTTTCCAGGTAACTAGTAAAGTAACGCATTACTTTTAAATTTACAACTAAACATGAGTTACTTTTTCAAATAAATAACGTAAGTTACTTTGTTTTCCCATTTATTGACTGACTGACAGTTGAGAAAAACAAATTCAGTATTCCCCAAAATTAATATGTTGAATTGGATAATCGAAGGTCAGCGGCAAAGTCATTGCTTAATAAAGTGAGATTAAATACATTAAAGGAGTAGTTCACTTTAAAAAAAAAAAAAAAAAAAAAAAAAACTTTTGCTGATAATTTACTCACCCCCATGTCATCCAAGTCGAAAAGAAATTACGTTTTTTGATGAAAACATTCCAGGATTTTTCTCCATATAATGGACTTCGATGGGAACCAAACGGTTCAAGGTCCAAAAGACAGTTTCAGTGCAAACTGCTCAAAGGGCTTTAAATGATTTCAAACGATGAATAAGGGTCTTATCAAGCGAAACGATCGCTCATTTAAAAAAAAAAAAAAAAAAAAAAGTTTAAGTTTTATAAGCTCAAATGCTCGCCTTGCTCTGTTCTGTGATGCGCGTTCGTGATTCTCCTATTTGAACTCATTCATTAAAATGAACAAATCTTTTTTTCGTGTCATTTGGTTCTTTCAACGAACGAAATGAAAGAGCTGACTCTGGAAAAGATTTGTTCATTTTGATGAACGAGTTCGAATAGGAGAGTCACGAACCCGCAGTTTGCATTGAAACTGTCTTTTGGACCTTGAACCGTTTGGTTCCCATTGAAGTCCATTATATGGAGAAAAATCCTGGAATGTTTTCATCAAGAACCTTAATTTCTTTTCGACTGAAGAAAGAATGACATGGACATCTTGGATGACATGGGGGTGAGTAAATTATCAGCAAAAGTTTTTTTTAAAAAGTGAACTACTCCTTTAAGTATATTTGTGTAATTTAACATATTTAATTATTACAGGTTTCCGTAATATTATGAGTTTGCATTTCAGTGTTTAGTATTTCTAAAGGAGCAAGTAGAGGTAAGTTAGTGTGATACATCTAAGCATTCAGCAAAGGCTTTGTGTTTTTTTATTTATTTTTTCATTCTTTTTTTATGAGCAGCTGTTGTGAATAATTAATTCAGTTGGATCTGATTTACTAAGCACAAATAAATCTGGGGGAGATGGGGTTACCAGCCAATCCGCTAATGATATAATGAGAATTTCCTTATCAGCTGAGTGCTATTATGCCTATTCTAGACGAGTTTTAAATAATAGGCTATTCTCTGGTTAACATTATTAGCTTTCTCATTTCTGTTAATGAATAAGTAATTGTGCCTGTGTAATGGAGGAAACCTGTACACTGTTGTCCTGTGACTCCTCTTGGACTGTCACTCGACCGTAGTGCTTGTGTGAGCGCTTAGACGTGCGTTTCCGTCCATTGCATATTTCATTTATACCTGGACATCCAAATGTAAGAGTTCCATGGTGCTGTAACTAACAGCTAAATCAATTCATGCCCTGGGCTGAGGTGAAAACTAATGTTATGCCCTGGAAAATGCCCTTTAACAGAATGACACAGCTGATACATATTCAAACCCTGACATTCACATTTTAAACATTATTCACACCTTAGATAATCCGTTTCATGATCATCAAGTCATCCAACGTCTGTTTCCCAGGAAAAAACACTGAACGACGTCACAAATGGCACATTCATATGGACATATGAACAATATATTTTGAAACCGAAGTGAAACACTGATATACCACAGTGTTTGCTGTCCGATTATATTAATACACATATTCCTTACACTGCAAACTAATAGAAACATCATGATCATCCATTTAGGTTAGGCGATGAGCTTAAATGGACATCGATTTGGTTCAGAAACAACCATTAAATAGTTTCCTGATATGTCACAAATCAGATACTCCTTATATCCCTTGTCTTACGTAATCATTTGGTATAATTGCCTGCCAGTCGTGTCATTTCAATTCAAAAGCTCCTACGTGATAACTACAGTGCAAATGTTTGCAAAATGTAACGGTTACATTTGCACCGACGAGCGTTGTTGATCATTCAGAACAGAAAGCCTGAAAATGCATAGTGTATTTCAGGTGAAAAGAGAAATAATACTTAATACTCTATGTCACTAGTGGTATAGCATCACTTTTGGGTTGTTTCACGCCCCCTTTTGACCATATGCAGTACTACTACAATCATCTCAGGCGTGTGCAACAGGTAAAAATCCACGAAAGTTACTCGACAAACACAAGACTAACATTGCATGACATGAGCATGCCCTAAACAGCCCTTATTCTCATGCAAAGGGATCAGTATACTGGATGTAAAATGTCAGAAACGGCCTCTGCTCCATATCCAACTCGGGTCCTTCTCCGGAAAGATTTGTTTTGGGATCTTCTAGGTGAATGGATGCACAGCTGAGCTCTACTGGTGCGTCCAGGCTATTGTAAATCCATGCATCGTCATGCATTGATCCTCGGTTGGAGATGTCCATGCGACCAAACTCAACCAGAACACACTGAAGAGGAAGGGGAAACTTTTTCGGGGGGGATCCATTACTCTTTCGCTCTTTTCCTGTACTTTTCATTGGGGGTAAGACACAGTATGTGTGCGTTAACATATTTGTGTGCATTCTGTTTTGAAACTGCTGCCAAATAATAATAAAAAAAAAACATGTCCAGTGTAGCTCGTCTCAAAAATATTTCAGTCACCACATTTGGATTTCACGTAAATTAAATGAACTTTACAGTTGCTCCAGTTTGAATGTGCATGTGTGCGTGATTGTTTTTTTTTAAGCAATTTTTGTCACTGTCATATGTTGAATTGAATCTATGTTGTGAGCGGTCCATACGTTACTTCATGCCACTGCGAAGCACCTGATTGGCTGCAATGAGCATGACACTGATGATGAAAGCAATCGCGAAGGCGCAGATCAGACTCTTCCGTACGCATGTTTGCTTCACCTGCTGGGTTGGACTCTCCGCTGAAGAAGCAGAGAGAAAACAAATAAGATCATCAAGAGGGGTTGGAGATGGTGACTTGATATTAAATTAAAAATATGTGAAGGTTTCAAAAGTGTTTGAGCTCCAAAACTGTTCTAAAACTTAGTGAGCTCTAATACCTAGACAATATTTTTAGGCAGCATACTTCAGGTCTTTTCATGAAAATCCATTAAATATGATAGACACAGTTGAAGGAAAGGTCAATTAGAAATGTACATTATTTTGCCAAGTACTGAAAAGTCATGATCAAACATTGATGGTATCGTCTCCAAAACTGGTAATTAAAGGGTTAAAATCCTAAAATTAAATACATATTTGGTAGTTATGATGAGGACTGATGCTGGTTAAAAGATTTAACTTGGTAAAAGTGGAAAATAATAATAATACATAATATTTTAGGCAATGTTTAATATGTGGCCATTTTTGGTCTTTAACACGCTAAGTGGGATTTTTTTTAAAAATCTGACATAACACAAAATCTTTAAATGCACCAGAAATAATGTTGCTGCTAATATTTAACATATTCAAGACTGTGATAATCCAAATCTAAAGTTTTCTCTTTGCATTTAGTGTATTGAAAATAATAATTTTTTTGTGTTTTTTCCTCTATGCAAATTGATGGTATCGCCACCAAAACTGGTAATTAAAGGGTTAAAATCCTGAAATTGAATAAATATTTGGTAGTTATGATGAGGACTGATGCTGGTTAAAAGATTTAACTTGGTAAAAGTGGAAAATAATAATAATACATAATATTTTAGGCAATGTTTAATATGTGGCTATTTTTGGTCTTTAACGCGCTAAGTGGGATTTTTTTTTTTTTAAATCTGACATAACACAAAATCTTTAAATGCACCAGAAATAATGTTGCTGCTAATCTTTGACATAGTCAAGACTGTGATAATCCAAATCTAAAGTTTTCTCTTTGCATTTAGTGTATTGAAAATAATTACATTTTTGTGTTTTTTCCTCTATACAAATTGATGGTATCACCACCAAAACTGGTAATTAAAGGGTTAAAATCCTGAAATTGAATAAATATTTGGTAGTTATGATGAGAACTGTTGCTGGTTAAAAGATTTAACTTAGTAAAAGTGGAAAATAATAATAATAAATAATATTTTTGGTCTTTAATGCACTCAATGGCATAAAAAATCTAATGCAGCACAAGGGTTAAAAAAAAAAATACTGACCCCAAACTCAACAGTAGTGTATGCCTAGTTCAAAATTCTAGGATTTTTGGGGTCTTCCTCAAACAAAATTCCAATTTAAACAGTTATACACCCAACATAATTAATCAAAATGATGAAATTATGATTTTAACAAGAAAGTAATAATACTAGAAACTGTATCTCAGCCAGAGCTGTGCATTATTAAAAAGAAAGAAAAAAATTCTTACTGTCAATGTCAACCTGGCAGTCCCCAGGATTTTCGATGTGATTCTCCTCTGTCATGATGATATTCTCAATGTCCTTCATAGACAGGTGGTCACAGAAAGTATCATATAAGAGTCTCTTCAGCTCTTCCACAGTCAGCTTCTGCATATCACACTAAAAAACAAAAAATTTCATTCTGTAATTCTTTAACCGATCTTCAATGGCCTGAATGCATTACTTTACTTTACTGTACATTAATGCATTTAGTTGACACTTTTATCCAAACAGACTTACCTGGCATTAAAGGTATTTTTATCAGTTCATGCATTCCCTGGGAGTCAAACCCATGGCCTTGTTGACGAGTTCACACTTACAAATAATCAGATAGAGTAAAAGAGTGTGCAAATTTAGTGTGCTCTCCGAGGAGAGGGCTCCAAGCTCAGAATTTGTTAATAAAACATCATGTGTTGCAAACACCATGCTCTGTTTGGAGCTCACAGTCAAAACTTGATATTAAATTTGACATGCAACCAATTTCACTTCCATTTGCACCATATTTTTGAGTACAAAATTAGGTCCCACTTTATATTAAGTGACTTTAAATACTATGTAATTACATTGAAATTAATAATTCGATACAATGGACTTATTGTGTACATACATGGTTTTACATTGTACTTACATTTTAAAATTCCAGCATGTAATTCCAGCTATAATTAATTTATGTAATTACACAGTTGACCCTCCCCTCACACCTTAACCTACCCTCAAACCGACCCATACCACCACACCTGTCCCTAACCTTACCCGTATCACACCTCAATAGCAGCAAAAGTGTTTTACAATACAACAGGAACACAATAATACATTGTACTTATTGTTCAATGTAAGTATATAGTACTTAAAGCCACTTAATATAAAGTGGGACCCAAAATTATATTCAATATAAAAAATATGATTTTGTCTTTCAGAGTTTAAAAGTGTCAGAGGTAGTTGAAGGAAAGGGGTGTTAAAATAACATGTACTGATGAACTGCGAACTAAGAATGTGTAATAAGTTGATTTTGATTTCATGCACGCAAATTCATAGCACTGAACTCATAATTACACGGCGAGATGTTTAAGAGGGAGAACCCTTTAGCTATTTGGGGTCAAACACACTGCTAAAAAATGCACCAGCAGTGAGCTGAGATTAGAGAAACTCATCCTTGGGGTAATCACCATATGGCCCTTACAAATGATATTCTGCTCTTCTCACTTGGAGACATGCAGCGGAAGAGACCCCGTTATAAAACCGATTAATAAATCTTATTTAAAGTCATCATGTCTGAATTTAAAGTGTATTCAAAATTGTAGTTTTTGTAACACTTTATTTTGATTATACTAAGCAACTATATAAGAAAATACATGTCAAGAAGCTGTCATTTGAGTGTTAGTAGAGTATTAGTAGTCTGCCTGCTTAAAATCTGCTAAAACTTTATTTTGATGGTCCCCCAACAGACATTTTACTAACTATAGCTTTGCAACTTCGTCAACTTAATACTAACCCGAACCCTAACCCATAAACTAATCTTTTAACAGTCTACTAATTCTCTAACGAGAGTTACTTGACATAGTTGCAAAGTTAAATGTCTAAAGTGGACTATCGAAATAAAGTGGAACAGTAGATTTTGCTCATGTTTAAAGGATAGGAGGCCAATTCTATTAAGCTGATTGATGTCTGTTTGTGTGATTTCATAGAGAGAATTGAAAGCAGGGCCTAAAATGAACACCTGCCAAGCGCCAAATGCAAATGGGGTTGGTGAGTATATGAAATGGTGTCAATCGGAAGTTAGCCGGTTACGTTTTTATGAATTCTAACAATGCAATGTTGTGAGAACATGAACAAACGTGAATGCCTAGGACAGTTGATAGCCAACGCTGGATCATCACGAAAGTTTAATGCTACGTTCCCACCGGACGCGAATCGCGCGTTAAATTCGCGCCTGACGCGTCTAGTTTGACGCTTGACCACTTTGTGTTAATTCGCGTGTCAAAAGCGAAACTGGCGCGCGTAAAAACAAAAGTTTGAAGCGAAATTTACGCGCGTGACGTGCGTCAGAATCGAAATCCGTTGGCGGCCATTGTTTTTATGTCGACCGAGCATTCATCAAGAGAGTTACCGCTCTGTATTTACTCTGGAGAGCAGAACAGCGGCGTGGGGATCATCGTCGCCGTATATTTGTGTCCACCGGACCCTTCGGAGCCGAACCGTTTGGCTAGATTCACCATTCGCTCCAGGAGCTGCGCTGGATGAAGGCCGCTGTCAGCGGTGCTTCCGCCTGTCACGCGCCCAGTTTGATGACCTGTTGTCCGGCATCGGAGCGAGGATCACCCTCGCCCTCATCCACCTAATCTAGCTGTCATTTATTTTTTGTTTTGATGATAAATAGAGCCAGCCTTCAAAAGTTATTAACCTGTCCTGTGATTTTTTTTCTCTCTCTCACGTCCAGACACGGATTTATGCACATGTTGATTGTCTTTACAACATAATACTATTTCATATAATCTATATATGGAATGAATAACATCCAATACAAAATGAACATGTCTCGTATATAGAAATAATGTTTTAAGTGATAAAACATTTGCTTTGTGTGCATAATCCCAACATGCATTTAGTATTAACAAAATAATTTATTGAAGCATCCAGACACTTCACCACGTGAGCAAGCAGCTAGGCTCCTGATTGGTTAACGCGGCGCGAATTCACGCCAAAGTTCAGATTTTTCAACTCGGGCGGCAGACGCGTGAATGCACAAATGGCACTAACTGAATCCTTCGCGCGTAACGCGCCAGACGCTCAATTCGCGCCATTCGCGCGAACTTGACGCGCGAATGAGGTGTATTCGCGTCTTCCGCGCCACGCCTCATTCGCGGCGCAGGAATTTTTCACACACGTAAAGCGTCTTTGCATTGACTTAACATTGAAATCATTTGCGCCTGACGCCCTATTCGCGTCCGGTGTGAACGTAGCATAAGCCTTGGCATTTTAAATATTCATGCACAAGAAGAGGCGAAATGAAACTTGGTTCCAAATGAAACTCGCGCGGTGTTTGGGAATTTTCTGTGCGCAAACATCCGAAGTGTCCGCCCACAAATCCGAATCAGAGAGTGTGCAATTAGTGTATTGAGTTCTCTTTCACGTCTTCTTGCGCTTGAACAGACATATTTAAACAAAATTATGCCCGTCTTGGGGAGTATCCTCGTAAACATAGTCAGTTATGCCTGAAGTGAACATAAACAGTTTTAAGAAAGAAAACGCATGATGGATCCGTGCATTAGCTCTTAAAGTGACAGCAGCCTAACCTTCCTTCTGCTGTCTGTGTTTGATGTTAATCAAAAGACAAAAAGGAAAAATCACTCACTTTCCTTGACTGAATAACTTTTGTAACTTATTGATAAGGATTAATCCATGTTTAATTTAACAATTTAACACAATGCAGTGTTATTTCTGCATTTGATTCATTAAATTTCTGTGCCTGAAAAGTGAATTTTTTGATGTCATGACTGCCTGTTTTTGCCAGAACCGTTTTAGCAGGTCTGGCAAACAGTTAGTTTCAGGCCCTGATTGAAAGTGTCTATCTAATCTAGATGTAGTTTTGGTGTGACAGATGCAGCAGGTTTTGTGGCTGTTGTCACTTTAAATAAGAGAGAAGTGGCTAATAATCACCTTCCAGAACACAGAGTCAAAATCGGTTCCGTTGAACTTGTCAGGCATCCCGGCAGCCGTGAGTTTGGGCCCCAGGAGAGTAACAAATTCCTCAAAATCCACCTGGCCGTCTCCTAAAAAACAGACCGTGAAGTATTAGATGGATTCTAGCATGATATATCACACTTTAAAAAATGTTGGGTTGTTTCAACCCAAATTTGGGTCAAATATGGACAAACCCAAATGTTGGGTTAAAAATGTATTTCAAAAATTTACAGCTGAAAGTGAAATTTGAAGTTGGGTTAAAATTTTAAATTACATTTTTTAACCCAACATTTGGGTTTGTCCATATTTGACCCAAATTTGGGTTGAAACAACCCAGTATTTTGCAAGTCCCAATTGTTGGCTATGGATATCCAGTATAGAAATGGATAGAAGTATATTTTCTGTCAGGGTTGTGAGTTATTTAGAATTTAATTGAGAATGCCTGCATAGAAAAATCCTGCATTTTAATCAAATTTGCATTGAGAAAATGCCTATAAACACTCAAATAGAGTGGAGTTTCCCAACGTGGCGTTTACGAACTGCTGGTGGTTTGGGTTGATGAAAATATAATAATTAATTAAATCCTAAAAATAAAATTAGTCAAATAAGTGAAATAAAAATTAATCTCTTACTAAAGAAAGATTACAATTGTATTAGATACAATATTATTAAGATATACATGAATTAAAAGATTAAATATTTTATTTGTTCATCTGTCATGTGACTTAACTATTCATATTTCACTTTCATTTAATGGATCATGGTAGAAGCATTTTTTTATTCTGTATGAGTTTGGAGAAGTATGTCTAATCAGTTGAGAAAATATTCTCTATGTGAGAGTAAACAGTTGTAATTAGGCACATTTAATGAATAATAATAATAATAATGATTAGTTGTTTTGGCACAAATGTTGTACTAATGACACTCCTCGGTTAAAGAATTGTACTATTACTGTTCAATATTTGTGAACTGCGATTCCGCAATATCAATTTACTGACATTCCAAGTCAATTTTAGTAGTGTGGCCAATTCAAACTCTTTCATTAAAACAAAGCCATTTCTTACGCTTTGCATGAATTATCTTGCTGCTCATGGTATGGTTGGTCAACTTTTCCTTTCTGGATCGATTAGTTTATCTACATTTCTCTCTTTTTTTGTGTCACCTTTATTATTTGAAGTGTCAGAACGAGCGTAATTTCATTGAGTGTGTTTTATGGAGCTGAAAGGCGCTCTCTGAGACGTTCTTTAAAGCACCGCCACTACAGCCATCAAAGCACCGCTTTCACCTTCAATTCATTTCAAGACAACTAACTTCAAACTTCAAAACGCCTACTGTCAAAAACTGTTCTCATTATCTGCCCATGCATAATTGCATGTCTCCATGCATTATGAGGAATATGATAGTTTGGGGCAATAAAAAGTCACAGTTGTTCAGCTTTTCTATTTGTTGAATATCTGTCAATTGTGTTTAGCATCCCTACAGTGCAGAGAAATGCATCTGATTGGTGACTGTTGGGCTTCAAGGAATAATTCACCCCAAAATTACAAAAAAACAATCATTATTTACTTATTCCTAACTTGAATGTGTCTCGAAATGTCTTATTTTGTGATCTAAAGAAAAAAGAAAGTCATACTGTAGGTTTGGAACAATATGAGCAATGAGCACATGCTGATTAAATCTCATTGATATTTCTTGGATGAACTCTCTCTTTAACTCTTTCCCGCCATTGAAAAGACTTTCCATAATTTATGACGCAATGCTTCCCCATCATTTAAGTTTTCCGGCAATCCATGTTTTCACTGTTGTACTGTTGGTATGGGGCTGTTATGGATTGTTTGGAATAGTACTACATCTCCAGATCCAAACACAAGTGAAGAAGAGGATCTGCATAAACCGGAAGGAGCAGATAGAAGATTGCACACACTAAGCCAATGTGATCATCAAACATTCAACAGAATATAAATTAAAACTGCCTCACGTTACCAAGCAAAATGTCAAACTCATGAAGAATTAAGTGACTGTGAAAGCTTTGGGGGTGTTGATGGCCTCGATCTACTCAATGTTTTGATCATCACTCTGAATCCGATCGATAACTCAACGCATTCTCATCCCAAGGCATCATATACGACACTTTTGCCAAAGCATAGACATCCAACGCATATGGCACCCTTTAGCGTCAATTGAGACTCTTCGGTTATGGTAGGTTTAGGTATGGGGTAGGGTTAGGTTTCGACCACTAGGAGGCGCCTTCTGCCCCATATATATCTGCGTCTCATTTAACGCTAAAGGGTGCCATGTGCGTTGGATGTCTACGCATTGGTAAAAGCGTCGTATATGATGCCTCTGGATGAGAACGGGCTCGATATTTAGGTTCGCAACAAATTTGCATAATGCCAGCCTATGGTAATATTCATTGGCTGTCCGCAAAAAACGCAGACTTAGTTGACTCGCCCTCAAACACTGTAGATGTAGCTGAGAAGCAGCCACTGTTGCCAACTATTTTCAAAGGAAAGTAGCTAACACCTTGCCTAAAAGTCGCTAAATGACGTCATACGTCAATTAGCATATCAATGTTGTCATCGCGTCGTACTTGCGTTCTGTCTGCCTAATGTGTTTTCTCTCTAAATGAATGCTTTAATATAATATAATATAATATAACCGAATGTCAATAAAGCATTCTCATTTCCTTTTTTTTTTTGTCAGACAACAGATCGAGTAGCTATGATATAGTGAATGACAAAAAAATGTATAGGCCTATGTGGAACATTATATGAATTGAGAGAGTTGGGGAACCTGATGAACTAAGCTCTGTGATAGTGAGTATTACAAGTAATAAGCTCAAGAAAAGAAAGGAAATTGAAATGGTCAAACTAAACTCTTTAAATATAAAACAAAAGAAAAGCAGATAAGTGATAAGACCATGGAAAAACTCATTCGCGTCTGTCAGCAGCCGTGCGCTCTTCTCAAACACAGGGAGAAAGCAAGACCTCGCACTCGTAGGACAGTACTGGCAATATTTGGAGGTTACTGAGGTTTGTTCAAAAACTCGCTAAATTTGTCGCTAGTCGTAGACATCGTCGCTAAATTTGTCGCTAGTCGTAGACTTTCAAAAGTAGACATGTTTTGAAAAATGTCGCTAAAGGGGTCTGAAAATTTGCTAAAAATAGCGACAAAGGCGCTAAGTTAGCAACACTGGAAGAAACATGTCATGTTGTTGACATGTCGAGAAGACGTTATTTACTGCACTGCGAATCCACGTTGCATGCACTTCCAAAGGACAAGGACTTGCGCTCGAATGGATACATTGAAACTGGCGCTGTTCATATCACTGTGTACAAGTGCTGGGAAAGCCTCGAGAGCTGAAATTCAGATATAATGGGAGTTTAGTTAGTGATGCGCGATGCAAGCGGTAGACAAATCACAACAGACTGGACCATCTTCTGACCAATCAGAGCATATAGGCTTTCGGAAAGCAGGGGTTTAGAGAGACTGAATCCTTTATCGAGCTGTTTTAGACACTGTGAGAAAAGAGGTGATGCTGCAATATATATTATGAGAAAACTTGAAGTGTTTGTGACCTTGGATGCATGTGAACCTGTTGTAGGAAACCTTTAAAGGGTACATATCATGCTTTTAAATCATTCATTTTTACTTATAAATCATACATTTGTGGTCTATATAAAGCATAACTGCAATGCTTGGGTCTGAATTCCTCATTATTATAGCTCCACAGGCCCCTTTTCTACCCCTTTTCTGATGTGCGTCTGTGAGCGACCCGTTTCAAAGCGGCCCCTTTAAAAAAATGGAGTTGCGTCTTTTCCCTCGGTTCAACTCCCCACGTTCGGCCATTATTGTAGTTTGATTAGAGATATACGATTATATACTATAGCTTCAAAGAATATTTTTAGTCACTCGTTAACAAAATGTCAACAACGGAAGACTTGTCCATCAAGCCTTACATATTCGAGCCAGAGCGAGCGATTTCATAAAGACGACGACGAACCTGCAGAACAACGTCTTCATATGGATGCAGTTGTATGCAAGTTAACTATGTTGTGTTATTAGTGAAAGTAGACTATTTTTCTGGTTAAAACAAGCACACTGACAAGATAAATGACTGCGGTCCAATCTTACCACTAAAAATCTGTATTAATAATAATATAATAACTTGCGTGTAGAAAAGCATCAGAAAACACAGCAGCTAAATGATTTTACCCCTCATTCAGACGAAGTCGATCGGCAAACCCTTCTTTATAGTGGCGGAAGTTGTTGAACTGGGAATCCTTGAAGTGCTTCAGGTCACTACATCCAACAACCAAACATTTTGACTTGCCCTCTCGTAACTTCTGCATCATTGAGCTTGGACTACAAAATCGGAGCGAGAAATAATAATGGCGGATTGCTCGAAGTGTTGGACCGGTACTCAATGTCCTTATTTGTCAGTTCCGCTGCAAATACGGTGACGTAATTGTTCAAAAAACGTCATAGAGAACAGAAAAATCTGAACAGGTTGAAAAATATGACCAAAACAGAATATAAAGATATAAATGAAGCACCTGAAGAGAATAATTTCATCTTTTCTGTACTTATAAACACTCCAAATATACAACAAAATGCATTTAAGGGCTAAAAAAGTGGATTTTGCATGATATGTCCCCTTTAAAATAGCATAATATGGTCACCCTGGTGGGAACATCAGCACACCAGCATCCCATCCTAAAGACGTCTAGCTATTCTGGTCTTTTCTCTTTCCAGTCCATTCACAATTTGTGCAAGTGTCTCCTCACCATCCATGTCGAGTCTCTGAATGATGACCTCTAGCTCGACCTCATTGGGCATGTACCCAAGAGAGCGCATGGCCATGCCGAGCTCCTGCTTTGAGATGAAGCCGTTCCCATCTCGATCAAACACCTTAAACGCCTCCCGGATTTCTGAGGAAGAGAGTCACACACAGATCTGTAAGACGGTGCTTTATACCTCCAATTTTAAACCAGTATTACTCTGCAACATTATTATTTAAGACAGATATTAAAATCATCACACCGAAGTGACTCAAAGAAAAGGAATGATTACAGTATATTGATTTTTCCCACAATAATTCACTTTCTGCAGAGCACAGCCTTTGTACTTGATGGATTTCAAACAAAGAAACAGGACGATTTCCGTAACATTCGCATAGGCTTGTTAAACGACGGGAAAATGCCGCAATGCACACGGTCGGTTGAGCCAACTTGTTTCACCGTTTATGCATTATACATCATCATTAAGTCATTTGCAATTTTCCACTTGTCACGCCATGATGCCATATTCATAATTATGAAATATGCACCACACAGACTGCAAGATATTGCTATAAATCCAGATAATATATTCAATACGGAGTGTGAACTGGAGTATTCGGTACTAAGGCTTGCTCACTGTGCTGTAGGTTTGATAAATGGCTATTTGGACATGTGGTCCAAACAAAAACACATTAAGTCTATCGGATATTAGGGAGGAAATATGAGAAAAATACAAGAAATGATGCCACTGCGGTCCATAGCAATAGCAACAGATGGAGAAAGCAACTTTACTCCACATTACGGTGGAAGTAAGCGGGTTTTAAATGGAAGTGAAGTGTGGGCTCTATTTTGCGCATTTCAAAGCAAAACTGTTTAGCTGCAAGCAACACATTTGGATTTGCAAAAAAGAAATGAAGCAAAACAGGATGGTTCTAATATGCCCTATCAACCAGACGGGAGAAAATCAAACAGGATATTCAGACTCATTTGCAGATTTTAATGATCATTAACATGCTCATATTATCACCCATCTTTTAAGAAGCTCAACAAGTCGATCATTATGTGTATGCAACTTTTTTTTCAACTTTTAGACTTTTTAGAAGTGCCATGAATGCAGTCCATGTATGAAATTAAAATTCTAAACAAATTTTATTAAATGATTTAATACAACGAAATTATAAATTAACTGAACCAGTTACTTAGTTATAGTTAAGGACATAAATCTGCATATATGAAACAAGATACAGCAAAAAAGTACCTTTTATGTGTTCTACAAAACAACTGCTGGTGTCTATAAATAAAGATAAATATTAAAGATGCATTATGTCCTGTATATATTATAATACCCTGAATAATATAATTTTTATATAATTTATCTTGAATGTTTTTTTTTTTTTTTTTTTTTTTTTTTTTGCAGCCCCTTAACTGTCACCGTCCCGCTACCGGGACGCCTAACTTTACTTCACTATATTTCAAATAAATCCTAATCTAATTATGACAAATTATATATCGTTGGAAAGGTCAAAGGCTTCTAAATAAATATTCTACCCCTGTTTTGTGTTCCAAATTATGTAGGAAGAGTAATTGATGAATTTATGACAAGAGTGCACCTCAAAAAATCTTAAATCTCAATAAATAAAGAAATGTTTTGTAAAATATATATTTTATATAAAATAAAAAATATATAGTACAGTATATTTGATTTACTGTAAATATAATATGCGCTGCAGCTTTGAAGTTGAATACTGGGCCTATATAGGCTAAAGCGTGTCTCGTGTTTTTAAGATCAAAAACGCGTTCTGTGTGATCATCCCCTTCCACCTATCAGTCACTACTTCTGGGACAGGCGTAAGACATAAAATATTTTGTCCAATTTAACAGAAAGTGTGTGCGAATAAAGATTAATAAAGATTTTAAATAATACCTTTTTTTTAATAATTACAGTTTTTTAAGTTTAAAGATTTCCGATGACTGACATCACAAAATTTACTGGTATTTTGGTGCTAATGTGTGAATTGTCTCTTAAAGGTAAAAATCCTGAGCGCCATGCTTATGTGAACAGCATATTTGTGTATTTACGGTAAAGTCATTCTGGTAATTTTACAGTAATTTACAAGGATTACTGTGTGAAAGGGGATAGCGCGTAATGAATACATGGTATGTAGGTGTTGTTTGGAACAAAGTATCAGGCCTCTAAAGCCGCGTTTCCCCCGCAATTTCCAGGAACTATTTGTCCCAGGAACTTTTTTCATAGGAGCTTTTTTTGCCCCAGACCGCTTGCTTACTGCCTTTCCACCGCGGACTAAAGTCTGCGCATTTGTTTTGAGTGCGTTTTGAGTTTTGTATGGAGGAGATTCTGCTTTTGTGTCCAATTGCTTTACTAACGAGGTAATTAACAAAACGGCAGAAAAGAGAAGAGCACCCAAAACGTATTCAGAAAGCTCGTAATGCTAGATATAAAAGTAGACGTTTGTTTTCAGCGGACCGTGAGATGGATGGGACTAACGCGCACCATCGGGCAGAAAGAACCAGTGAATAATGTGTGAAATTTTGGGAAATTACCGAGGCTCAATAGTGGACTCAACAATGCTCATTGTGCAACTAAGTTTTTGGGAAACCCACCACTGCCTGTTGCTAGGCAACTGCACAACTGTTCAAACCCACTACTATAAGGGTTGTGATTAGACCACAGCCCTTCCAGCATGATAGCGCTCGCATGTCACAGTATATATCAAAAGTTGTACCTACTCATAAAAATAGCACTCTCTATAAAAATAATAAAGATATATTTGAAAGCCAAGCATGCACCTAAAAATGAAGGGTTAGGGTTACTTGTTAACAAACAGATTTCAAAGAATTTTTAGCAAAAGATTAAGCAAAACATCTATATACTTTAAGGTATGAAATATGACATCAAAATTACTTTTATGCTATTTTTATGCTGCTTTGCATCATTTTTTGAAAAGTAAAAAGTGAACAAATGAATGTGAAAATAAACGAGTACTACTGTTGTCATGATACTGGAAAATTCACTTTTTGTTACAATATCATGAAAAATATTGATGCATTTTTTCATGCCAGAGGGGAAAATGTCATACATACCATAATACAGATAATTGTAAATAAAATCTTTTTTTTTTTGATAATTTGGGTTAAATTGTTGTAAAAGCTTACACACTTTATTTGGATTGTTGAACTGAAAGTACAAAAAAAAAGGCAAGTAAACAGTTGGTAATAAAATCAAAACAAATAAACAAATGCAAACAATAGCACAAATAATTACAATAGAATAAAGAGACAAATTAAAAAAACATGGCGTTAAGATTTTCAGCTGGGTCTAACAGTAGTATTCAGATAAGAAATAATACAGAAATGAAAGTAATCAAATGTAAAATAACACTGGATTGTTTTCCTTGTAAAAATTAAATGCAGATTAATGCTTAAAATTAAAGTTACAACAATTATTCAGTCAAGAGCAGCGAGTGATTTCTCTTTGTCTTGAGCAACAGGTTTGTTAGGCTGCTGTCACTTTAAGAGAGTGTGTATGGATTCAATACACTGTTACACAACATGCGTTTTCTCTCAAATGTGTTCCAAAATGAGCTGGATTTACCTGAATACTCAGCAAGATAAGCTTTTTGACATCATTTTGTATGTATTTGACCATTTAACCGCAACAAGCGACGAATAAGAAGTCAATTTAGTACTCGCGAACTGTTTGAGAGGCAGCTTTATGAGAGCAAAACTTATAGATCAGTGGTGCACGTGCTTTTGGTATGAGTGTGAAACCTGCGGGAATGACTAAAATTATGCGAAATACGCATAAGAGTGAGAGGAGGTTGGTGTTTGTCATTTCACCGTCAGAGAGAAGAGAGTGAAAAAGCGCAACTGATATCTGTCTATCAATACTGCAGAAAAGGAGTAGGCTTATTGGAAACATTTCAGATATTTCAGTATCGATACATATCTAATATTGATATTTTTGGCAACACGACTACTATTTCTTTTTAAAAATGCATATTTTTGTGTTTTGCAGAAGAAAGGCGGTCATGCAGTTTTGGAACGATATACGATGAAAAATCGCCATTCACGTGCGACTAGATTTTAAAGCATTCATCATTCAACTCCATCAACCAGGTAGATCTGAACAGCTGGTTATTTACTGTTTTGTTCAAAATGAACCAACAACCAATGTGCCTCGAACCAGACATGCAGTATAATTTACATAAATTACAACTTATTGCACATGCAATGATCATGAAAGTTTACAATTAGCCTTATGTCTCTGAAGTGAAACAAAAGATGTTTTCCGCAAATTTAGTGGCATGTGGCAAAAACAACAGCACAGAGATTGTACATGTCTTGTGAGGAACAGATAGCAATCCGATTAAGGGATTGCCATGGGTTTCCTTGGAGTGAAAAACATTTCGATTGGGGAAGTCCTTGGCAGAACACGACATGCTGCCAGATGCTGCGCTGCTGGCATTGATAAGATTTGTTGAGAAATCTCAGTTCTTTGCCAAATTAACTTTTACCTACCATATGTGTTTCACCACTTTATTATTATTTTTATCTCAAACCACAAAATTCATTGAAGCTGAATGGATCTCCAAAAAATACATTGCTAGCTGTACTCTCTAAATGTGTCATTCTCTGATGTTGTTTACTTCTGAACATGTGCACTTTATTGCAAAATTATTTAATAATTTACACAGTCAATGCATTATATAACTGTCAGTCCCTAATACACAGAACCAGTCAAAACACTGATTTTCTTTGGGGGAAACATTTATATATATATATATATATATGAAGAGTTCAGATGCAAAAGCCTCTAAATGCCATTTAAAATTTTCTTCTTTAATGATGATTTTTATCAAACTTGTATATTTAAGTCCAGTAATTTCACATAAATAACAATTAATAGGTAACTATCATTGCCATTTAAGTGAAATTACTGAACTTAAATATACAAGTTTGATAAAAATCATCATTAAAGAAGAAAATTTTAAATGGCATTTAGAGGCTTTTGCATCTGAACTCTTCATATATATATATATATATATATATATATATATCCTAGTCCTTAAAAAAAGTAGCTATAGAATAGAGATTAATGAAATTTCTTCAAAGAAAGCTAATTAATCACT